ATACGAGCTCCAGAAGTAAATAAAGAAAGTTTAATCTTTTATAGAAATAAAGAAAAGGCTAAAGATCTCCTATCATCGAATTAAACAATCAATGCATTCGCGTCTTGTTTCATAGTCACAGCTACGAAGAAACAATCTTGTCAAATGGTATTAGTTTTACGAATATTGCAAAGATTGCAGTCCAACCGAATCTGGAAAAAGTTAAAAAAAAAAATCTAACAAAACTGCAAAATTATCCGAACCCTTTGACTTACACCTTGACCTCCGCAGTAAGTCAACCTCGCTGGAAGAGAAGGGATTTACTAGCCTTGTAAAGAGCAACACCTAATCAGCATCGATGCAGTGACTTAGACGATGCAAGCATCAATGAATCGTCATTTGACGTTTTCAAAAGAAAGCTTCTGCGAAAGGTTTGTATGGGCAGAGGACTTAACTCCGCTTGGCGTTTTCAATTAGTGTTGAACTGCGAAAAGAATCAACGACTGGTGTGTTATTTTTACTTAGGCTATATTAATATATGGCTGCCGCGGTAGCCGAGTGGTTAGAATTGCGTACTGCCATTCGGAAGGCTCGGGTTCAAATCCTAGTGCGACCAACATCCCGAAGGTTATAGGAAATTAATGTAGATGAAAAGTTAAACTAAATTTTCTAATTGCGGTCGCCCCTCGGCAGGGAATGTCCACCCCTCCGTGGACCATCAGCCGTTCGTAGGCGGCTTAGTATAAACTGTAGGTTCCTCCATTTGTTCGAAAAACATTCAGACGCAAAACCACAAATTGGAGGAGGAGCTGAGCGGAAAATCGCTTCAGCGGTTATAAAATATGTATGTATGTATATTTATGTATAAAATGTACGGAGAAAAGATACCAATGAGATTTATACAAGGAGGGATAAGAAAAGAAATTCGTGAAATAGTTTCAATTGCATTTCGAATACCAGTAGTAATGACCCGAAATGTTTTATTGTACGAGGTAATCAACAAAAGCTCGGTAAGTTGACAAAAAAAAACATTATTTTTGTATATATTCGTAATCTTTGTTCTTTTTTATCTTCGCTCTTCTGAAAAGAGTCTTCAAAATCTTGCTTTACAACGTTATTCGAACGTTATCAAGTTCAGCATTTAATCGCATTAATTATCTCCTCGTTGCTCTTAAAGATCTTTCCTTTGATTTTTTTTTTAATTTTTGGAAAAATCCAGGAACCACAGGGTGTTATATCCGGGGAATATAGTGCTCAACGTATTTCTTCAGTTCCAGAGATCGCAATAAATTTTCCAACAAATTTTTGGTAAGCACTCATCCGCGTAGCATTAGCGTAGCATTGACCATTTTCGAATTTGTTTTGGAAAAATGCACTCGAGCCTCTTTCTGGGCCTCATTTAAAATTCGTGGCAGATTTCTTCGTGCATCCTCGTTAATTATTTAATATTCGCGATACAACCATGGCACTCAAGCCCAATCCATAGGCAAACAGTTCTTGCGTCAATTGTGGGTCTTCACCAGAGCCACAATGAGCTCAGCAGTGGAAAATTTTGGTCGACTCTCTCGGACTAAGTTCTTTACGAAAAATGTCCGTCTGGAGTCTTCGGAACCACGTAGAAATAGTCTTTAAAGGAGTTGCAAAAGTTCCATGTGCAATTTGGCATTCACTAAATATTTATTTATATCGGCTATAAATTACGCTGAAATCCGAATAGAAAATCATGGCGAATTTCTGTTTGGGTTCGTGGTGGAATTTCGCCTGGCCAATCCTCAGCTATTTTGCGTTCTATCGTCTCCATTTTGAAGGATCGTTCTAAAATTTTAATGGAGAACTAATAAAGAAATCGCAAAGGATTTCGTATTTTTAAATTTAACAAAAACGAATTGAGAGTTATCAACTGACCGAACTTTAGTTAATGCCCTCGTATGTTTGATAAAATTGGCAAAGAATCACCCACTACGAGCTGCTCCCTTACCGTCGAACTCGTAATTCGGGCCAGTAATTGCAGCAATTCGACCGTCTGTAGCAAGAATCAAGCACCCAACTTTGAACAACAGAAGGGGATTATATTTCATCAGGACAATGCCAGATCACACAAATAGGTATTGGATCCAAAAGCTCCGAAACTTTGGTCGTTTGAAAAGTGTTTACCAACTGATGAGGAGTTGGCCTCAAGAGAAGCCTATGAAAATCGATTGTACCAATTTTTTCCCAATAGAGACAAAGGTTTCTACTAGTAAGGCATAATGACGGGCATAAATTATATAATTCGGATGATTCTAACTATGATAAATTAAGCCTTCAATTTAATGCAAATATAAAACAAAATCACCGAGCATGATACAAAAAGTGTGTTTGGGCAATTTAGAAAATCCCTTCGTTACTATTAAATGATGGCTCAACCGCAAAGAGCTGACGACAGTCGATTAGTGCGCTAACCGCCAAAAGGACGTAAGCGACAAAATGTAACGTTTTCAGTAGACTGTCGTTGTCCCAAAAATCAGTGCGCCAAAAATCAGTGAGCAAAGTACATAGAAACATATCAGTGTAAAAGGTTTTTGTGGGGCTTTAAAATTTAGCCATTGATGCGAACGTTGCAATTATAAAAAAACACGAAAATCGACACAAAAACATGCAGCTTCCCTCGAGTTGAAAACTAGCAAATCACAATTCTCTGAGGGATGGAGATACATTTTTTGGTTGCTGTATTTGTATTGATAGTTATTTGCTTGGTAAGCTAAGCGAAGAATATTTTTTATAGATTCGCTCCAAAACGATTTGTGGCGCATTTGGAGATGCCAAAAATCTTTAAATTTAAAGCCAATTTTAAACTTTTTAATTAAAAAAAAGTAACTGAAACACAATATCTATTTGAAATACTTTTTTATTATATTATTCTTTATATTTATCATTATATTATTTTGTTCTATGTAGTATATTACACATTAAATTTGTAAATTTTCTTTATATATTTTTCGATTTATTATTATTATTTTTTTTTTTTTTGTTTATTTATAAGTTATAATACAATTCACGATACATGATATAAAAATGATTACATATTACATACATACAACTATTATAAGTGACGTGTGTATAATACAAATACGTTTGTCTTAATATTTGTGTAAGTATATGTGATACTAAGGAAATAATAGCATTAATATGAGTACATACTCGTATACATATGTACTTACAACGCACACATTTAAAGGAAACCCCGAAATACATAAGTAGTTTTGAAGAATATAAAGAAAGAAAAACAAACACTTAACTAAGCTTTCAAGAGACACGCCAGAATAAGCATACAAAAGTAAATACTAAATAAGCTAATTAAATTTATTTTAATTAAAGTAATATTGCAATCATTGAAAATTTGTTTAAAAACCTTTTAATTTAATTTTTTTTAATTTCTTATATTTTTTTCTATTTATTTATATATAATATACACGCTTTTACAGTAACCAAAGCCAATAGCATTGATAAAAAGCTGAGTTTTTTTTTCGTTAACAAATTAATATTTTAATAAGCAGCATTAAAAGTATATATGCATGTATAAGAGTATTATATAATTATTCGTTGTGATGTTGTGTATTGAATTATTCGGGCGGTTTTACTATATAAGTCTGTTTACCAATATTTTTGGACGATTTTTCTAAAAGCAATTGTTTTAGTGAATCCCTGTTCAGCATTTTTCAATAAATGTGCTATTCGTTAAACATTTCAAAATTTTGTGACCAATGCCAGTACAAAAACAATACTTTTAACTTTAATAAATTTATTTAATTTTATTTCATAAATTACTGAATGTGCTGTTGGATGCAGAAAGCGACACAGATGTGATGAGGAAGAATTTCAAAGTGATTTTACACAAACAAAGCACAGTTTTTTAATATTATATAAAAAGTTTTCTAATACAAAAAAATTTATTTAAATTTAATTTAGCAAAAAAATTTGCATGAAAATTAATTAATTGATTTGTGCTAGATTTTTCTTAACTCTTTTGCAACAGAAATTTATTAACAAAAATTTATTTATTTTAAATTTTTTTATTTGTTGCATTTGTAAAGTACAATACTACTTTTTTTTTAAATCCACAAATCTTTTTTAAGAACAGTAGTTTATTTTTTATTGCTGTTGTTCTAAAAATATTACCGAATAGTTTCAACTATCAGCTGGTTAAGCAAAGTCTTTATCAGGCTACAGGTTCGAGTCGATGGATTATCATCATTCGGTATTTTATTTAAAACATTTTCTGTAAATATTTAACAACATTGCATAACAACAATGTCTCTGTGTCTGTTGCCAGTTTTTTTGCCAGTTATTTCAACATCCAACAACACTATTTTTGTATTTATTTTTGATGTTACCTGCTTTATTTTCAATACTAATTAGCTACATACTTGCCCAAAAAAATATTGAAACGATAAAAATATGCGTAAATATTTGAAATTGAAAAAATTATGAACAAAGGATTAATAAAAGTTGCATTGAAAATACTGAAAATTGCCTTATAAAGCTGTATACTAAAGTTATATATGGTTTATAATAAAAAAAAATTTTGCGCCCCATTGGCAATATACTAATACTAACTGCATTTGCATTGTTTTCTATTGTTTTCTATTGTTACACTAATATCAATGTCTGGAAGAACTTTCTTTGACTGGTTTACGTGTTTGTTGCAATTTTGTTTCTATTTTTTATATTTTTATTTTTATTTTGATTTTTTACGTTTCTATTTTTTATATTTTAGTTTACATTTCTTTATTTTTATTTTTTCTATTCATATTTTATAAAATTATTTTTTATACTTTCATTTTTTATATTTCTATTATTTATATATTTATTCTTTATATTTGTTTTATTTTTTTGTTTATTTTTTTTTTTTAATTCGTTTTAATTTGTATATTTTTTCTTTCTAAAACATTTTCTTTTATTAATTTTATTTTCTTTTTACTTTTTTCCACCTAAATTTATGTGTATTACTTCCTGGTTAAGACTATAAGACTATTCGAGCACTTTTAAGGAAATTCTTTATTTATAATTTGTTTTATATACATACATAAAAATACACAAACATACATTCCTAATACAATACCGTAATGCGTTTGTGCGTCTAACTAGATTTATTGCTGAGCATTTCATATATTCATCATTCATTGTTTTTACAAAACATGCATACGTATTACAAATGTGTGTACATATTTATTATACATTTAATTACAATAAGTTAAAGTTATCATATATTACAAATAAACTTAACTACGCTATAAGTTAGCTGTTCAAGTCCAGCTTTCGCACGATATGTTGCTGTTTATAAAGCATTAATAAGCAGTTTTTGGATTTTTCTCAACTCCGAACTTTAATATTAAACGTTGCTAATTTGAAATTATATTATTAGTTTGTGTTTTTGTTTATAATTAATTGGTTTAACAAAAAAACATTTTTTTTTCTAATTTATTACAATACAAAATTTAAGCATAAATTACAAATTATATCACAACAATAAAGACATCTGCGTTTTGTGCGCGATCAAGAATTTACAATAATATTTATAAGACAGTGAAACAAAAAAAAAACCTACGGAGATTTAACTGATCGACAAGCTTAATTAACTATAAACTTTTTCCTTTTTTTGTTTTTTATATTTACACTACAGCTGGTTTCGTGTGAGATATATGTATGTAAATATACATAGTTGAATAAAGTAAGTAGTTTTTGTTTTTATTTAAGGTAAAAAAAAACATGCGTCTCAGCAGCTTTTACTTTACTAGAAGAACGCTTCATCGCTTTCTGCCCTTACACTGCTGCAATCTGTTTTGTCATACCATCATTCGTAAAAACAAAGTGTTTAACAAAAAATCTTTTATACTCTCGCACACGTGGCTACTAACAAAATGCTTGGGCTGATATGCGGCTTTATACCAAAATTAGAAAAGCACAGTCTTTTGTTTTCATGCTTCTTTTTCAGCTTAATATGCACCAACGCTGAGACCCTCAAGCATAGCATTTACACGGAAAAGCTTATTTTTGTATGCAGTTCTATGCTTTCACATTTACTTTATCCACCTTATACTTCAGCAGGTCTATGGCGCATTTACTGCCTAACAGCTAAGCACGTTGTCGTCGTTGTCGGTGTTGACAGTTGGTTAGACACTGTTTCTCCTCCTCGCTCTTACGGTGGCGAGGTGCACTGAGATCCATCATTTGGATTGTCAACATTGCTTTTTGGCCCACCGTACAATACTAACTTTTGCTAAGTGCCTTCTTTTTCCTTTGTACCAAAATATCGTAGAAGGGATTATGACTAATGGATTGTGTTAAACGTTTAATCCATTCTAGTTGATCTTCTGCTGTTGCCGCTGACATACGATACACTGAATGTTTACCCTCAACAACCTGTAGGAGTCAGAGAAATATAAATAAGCAAGAATAAACAAAATAAAATAGTATAAATCTCACCTTTCCCTCGGAGTCAGTCTTACATGCTTTAATAATATCAGCGCCACCGGTGGCAAACAGTTCAAAACAATGCGGTTTACTGCGATCGTGTATTTCACGCACCTTAAAAGTAAAAAATTTGTTTAAGAGGAATACAAACCTACTTAATCAATGTTTTTTTCTCAGATTCCTTGCTTTTACTCACCGATATATTTTCCAGCGGTATAATCCCTCTGGGCTCTTTATCCGTTGTGTACTCAAAGTAGTACAAACAATTGTCGTTCAATATGAACCAGCGCCGTTTCCAGGATTTATAACTGTAACATCAAAAATATTTGAATCAGCTGTGATCTCCGAAATGGTTTGTATACGCATATATTGTATTATGTATTTATGTATCCATTAAAGATTGCTCCACTATTTTTCTTTTGTATTAAAAACTTAAAATTCACTTTTCCAACTTGCAACAAGAGTTTTTGTATAGAAAAAATGCCAATAATTTATTTATTTTTTTTTTTTTCGATTTTTTGTATTTTATTTTACTTCATTACATTAATTGATTATCTTATTTTTATTATATTAAATTTTATTTTTTATTTACGTTCTAAGTTTTATTTTATTAGGTTTTTTTCTTATATATTATATATTTCTATTGTATTTTTTATTTCTATTTATTTATTCGTTTTTTAATTTTTTATTAATTTTTTTTTTTAATTTTTTTATTAATTTTTTTTAAATTTTTTATTAATTTTTTTTTATGTTTTTTATTTTTTTTTTTAATTTTTTTATTTATTTTTTTTTCTACTTTCCATTGGTTTTTTATTTTCCGTTAATTTTTTTATATAATTATTTATTTTTCATTTTTTTTTTTTCATTTTTTTTATTTTTCATTTTCTTTATTTTTCATTTTTTTTATTTTTCTTTTTTTTATTTTTAATTTATATTTTTATATATTTTATTTTCGTTGATTGTTCTCTATTTTTTATGTTAATTTTTTCTTTATTTATTTTTTATTTTTCATTTTTTTCATTCATTTTTTCCATTAATTTTGTATTTTTTCATTTATTTTTTCATTAATTTTCTTTATTTTTTTTTATTTGTTTCGTTTGTTTTTTTTTATTTATTATTTTTTATTTTATTTTTATTTTTTTTATTTTTTTTTTATTTTTTTTATTTTTNTTTTTTTTTATTATTTTTTTTTATTTTTTTATTTTATTATTTTTTTTTATTTTTTTATTTTATTATTTTTTTTTATTTTTTTATTTTATTATTTTTTTTTATTTTTTTATTTTATTATTTTTCTTTATTTTTTTATTTTATTATTTTTTTTTATTTTTTTATTTTATTATTTTTTTCTTTCTTTATTTTTTTATTTGTATCTTTTTTATCCTTTATTTATTTATTTTTCTATTTCCTTTAATTATTTTTCTAATTTTTTCCTTTACTTATTTTTATATTTTTTTTTATTTATTTTCCTTTTCTTTCTTTTATTTTTTCTTTATTTTTTTCATTGTCATTCTTTTATTTCTTCTTTATTTTTTTCATTGTCATTCTTTTATTTTTTTCTTTATTTTTTCCCTTTTCATTTTTTTATTTTTTATTTATTAGTTTTTTACTTTATTTATTTTATTATTCTTTATTTATTTTATTATTCTTTATTTATTTTATTATTCTTTATTTATTTTATTATTCTTTATTTATTTTATTATTCTTTATTTATTTTCTTATTCTTTATTTTTTAACTTTTGATTTTATTAATTTTGATTTTTTAACTTTTATTTACTTTTTACTTCTAATTCTTTTAGTATCTTACTCAGCAAGGGATCATGGATGGGAAGACGCAAACAGATCAGATAGCCAGATAGCCAGATATCTGATCTGGGCCTTATGAAAGTTAATTCCATTAAAAATAATAGGTGCTTTAGCCGTATCGCTACGCCGATCATTTGAAAATTGCATTCTTGCGTATATACAATATATACATATGTATGAATGCACAAAACCCAAACAAGAGGAAGCAATTAGACATCGCCCTTTTATTTTACAATATAAATAATGATTAATTGTATGTCAGGCCAATAGTGCATCTAGTGCTTAAAAAGGATGTGCTAAGATTTACCTTAAATGAAAGGTCAGCCTTTTTTAGGTTTTTATATATAAATTAAAAACAAAATTCTTGCGAATTCAATGAAATTTGGAAACGTATCTCCCACTATGTACTATCTGCTTTATCTAATCGTATACATTTTAAAATTACAAAAACTGTACAAACTTACCGTCCACCCTGCTTCCATAGCCAGCCCTCCTTGTCTGGATTGAAAAATGTATGCATTAAATCGTTACCATCATCTTGTGGTATTTTAAATGGTTCCGTTCTAATAGATTCGTAAAGGGATTCCAGTAGGCCGCGGGGTAAATCACCACCGTTATTAATACCGCGATTCATTGAAATGAATTGCTCAACGGTGGGTTTGTCTTTGACCTGTTAAAGGAAGATGAAAAAAATTAATATTATATGTCGTCTTTTTTTTATTAAAAAAAAATATGGTAAGAATTCAGGAATTTTAAGTAAGAAAAGATTCAATAGAGGTCACTCACTCGAAACATATGGCAAAAAAAAAATGCTTAATTCACATTAAATATATCTCATTTTATTCTCATAACAATTAAGGCCACTTATAATATTTGCAGCACTACCAAATCTAAGTAAAACAAATGCAAAAAAAAACTAAACAATCAACACTTGAACTTTTTATACTTGCCCATAAAGATACATATATATTATGCGTATGAAAATGAAAATATGTAAAATGTGTAAAAAAATTTGTCTAAATCGTACTTGGCCTATTTTTAGAAATAAGTGATTACTCAAAACAAATGAGATCATGAGACAGCCAGCCGCACAGCACAATGAGCACAATCAGGGTATTTACATAAGAGTTTAATGAAAACAAATGAGTAAATGAATGAATTTGGCGAAGCATTGGTCGTGGGTGGTAAATAGAAGAGCGTCAGACACAGTTTTTACGCCAGATTAGAGCTAAAACTGAAAACTATGTATACTACAATGCTTGTTACTGAGTTTGCAAAAAAAAGTAAAAAGTAAAAATAAAATGAATAAATAAATAATTCTAAATCAGTTGCAGCAGCTGCCACAATCAGCCGGCCACCTGCTATTTTTATGCTTGCCAAATGCAATGAATGAGCGCAATAGCGGGCGGGAAGGAATTTTAATATGTGAGCATCGCGAAAAATTCGACAAACTGATTATTTCTTCATTTTTGTTGTTATTTTTATTTATTTTTTTTTCACAGCATCAAACCCTGAACTATAAATATTTTGACACGCGCAGTATGTGATCGGAAGCGTGCACAATAGCACATAGTATTCACTAAGCAGCTAAGTGGTGCAGATTTAGTGAGAAATCGCTTTTTGTTAATTCATTTTAATTGATTTCCGCTCACAGCATACAATTTCCGAATGCAATTGTTACACTGCAGACAAATGTACATACATATTTATATGCAAAGCACGGTAAAAAATTGCACAGCTGTAATACCCTCATTTTCAGCCCACTCTACTCACCGACGGATTGTGCAGCGATGTATTGAGCATAATTATGGCGAAACTTAGCACATAACACGTATCGGTGTTGGTAAAAATATCCGGATTTAATTGGCAATAGCGCTGTGCGAAACATTCCATCATACGGTCAATTTTCTGCGCCTCACCCGGAAGTCGAAATGACCAAAGGAATTGTCTTAAAGCTTGCACCAATATCAAATTCGTAAAATCATGTAGCGCCACAAATGCCTTTAGCACGTCTTCGTTGAAATCGTTCTTTTCGCCTAAGTAGTCGCCTGTAGAAAATAATAGAGAAATTTAAAAGATGGCATTAGTAAAGTGAATTTTTTTTTCAGTTTATTTACACTCACCAATTGCAGTTTTATTCAGTCCTTCGCCTTTGTACAGAAAATGCGCAACATCCTGTGGATCGTGTCGAAGTAGACGATTTTCCACTAAATATTCAATACCTAAAAAAATAAATAAAAAGGTATTTTTGATTACTTTTTTGCAGAAAAATATTGCAATGTTTATAAGAATGATCTTAAAGAGCTTTACAACTTATTGATACGCCTGAAAGTATGCAACGATTTTACCTTTGTTTTTTAGACTAGCAATGGAAAATTCGTTCAGAATAATTTTTAGAGGCTAGTCAGTTAAATAAGAAATATATATAATGTGACTCCACCAAAGTGAGTGGAAATAAAGTTAATTAACCAAATTATATATTCACCAAGAGAGTTTGATCTCAACACCCCTAACGCCAAGAGAAATTAAGTTACCACGTACCGATTTAAACAGTGAAGACAATCGAGGCCCACATGAAGAGTTAAAACATCATCCTGAGAACCATAACGAAATCTAAATAAGAAATATTGTGCTATATAAATAATATTTGCTGGGAGAACACTGCAAGGATTATCCATGCAGGATGATAAACCCAGGTACATCAGGAATTTTGGGACTTCATTCAACTTTAAGTTATGCAACTGCTAAACAGGACTTGCTACTGACCAAGGGGTTCAAAATTGTATATGCCGTAAGGCATGTTTGTCTTTTTTCCGAAAAGACCATGTTTTTCCGACCAAGCAATATTTTCAGGAAACCAAATTGGAGAATATATTTGCGGTTACAACAATAATCACAATGAGCTACCGACAGACTCTAACCGCTCTCATCAAACCTTCTGTTCATGTGAATGATGCAATCTATTTCAGGGTATCCTCAACTGGTAACAGCTGTTAAAATCTAATTTTAGGAGGATATAGCTTGATTTATTTAATGGTGTTATGAGCTGGTTCAATAAATATATCGCTAAATTATTTTTTCCTTTCCATAAGTCTGATAACCGAAGCTGATATAACTTTACAAAAGAAGAAAGTCTATACATTGTGAATAGCAAAAGCTTGGCCTGAATGAGATTACCACCTAGTCCATTGTTCGTGGTAATTTCTTATTCTACCATAACATCAAATATTGGGATCATTTTTTTGTACATCGAAACTAATTCATTTAAAATCTAAATGTGACTGACTGCCGAAAGAAAAATATCCTAAAAAAAAGGTTGGTGCACTGCGTCACTGAGAGTTTGGGCAATTTTCAGTCTACCAAAAAACAAACTATAAAGATTATCAAACATATAAAATAAATGAAAAACAAACCACGAAAGCAAAATAAAAAATTTCAGAAAAGACAAAAAATGTAGTATAATATGCACACATTTATAGATAAGTTTACGGCATTTTTTCATAATAAATGTTGTATTTATGCGCACATACGTGTGCGTCAATAAGAACTTGAAAATTGAGTTGTATATTGCAAGTGAATTGTATTCTACATACAGCATCAATTACGATCTTGATATGTTGAGACAGTATGCATAAGTAAGTGAAGGTGTGTCCGATAATGAATGCCATGGGAATAGATTTCAGCATAAAAATAACACAATTATTTATGTAAATATATGTACATACATAGCGTGCGTGTCTGTAGGGAAAAACTGGCATAAAGGATATTTAAAAGAAAATTAAATTTTTTAAAGTCTCCAGTTGACCAAATGCGCTGTGAAACAATCAATTATGCTTTACAAAAATTATTATTTACTTTTAATTTCATTACATATATATTATAATATATTCATTGCCTATTTTTTATCTTATAGTATTTTTTATTAATTTAATTCTTTTTTTTTATTTTTCATATGTCACTCTTTTTTAATTTTTCTATTCATTTTTTTCTATTTCAATTTTTTATTATTTATTTTAATACTTTTATTAATTATTTTTATTTGTTATTTCTTTCATGTTTTTTATTAATTTGATATTTTTATGATTTTGTATATTATTATATAATTTAGTTATTTACACTAATATCTTTAAATAATTTTAATATTTTTTAATATTTGTTTTTATTTTTTCTATTCATTATTTTAAGTTTATGGTTTATTTCATATTTTTTACTATTTACGTACGTATTATTTCTGAATTACCTTTTTTAATATAGTTTATACATGCTTTTTGTTTATTTTACATAGATTTATTGTTCATGTATTTTTTTTTAATATTTTTTTTATGTATTGTTGTTGTTAAGTTATACCTTTTGATATATTTTTTTTCATTAATTTTAATATTTTTTTGCTTGTTCTTTTTGTTTTATTTAAATTTTATTTATTTTAGTATTTTTCATTATTTATTTCAATATTTTTTATTATTTATTTTAATGTTTATTAAATATTTAAATTAACTTTTTTGATTCATGTTTTCCTTTCTTTTTTAACTCATTTTATTATTTGTTTTATGTTTTTTGTGCATTTTATATTTTTTATTACTTCTTAGTTATTTTATGTTTTTTATTTATTTTTATATCCTTTTATTTATTTTAGTTTTTTTATTATTGATTTAGTTTTTGTACTATTAACTTTATTTATTTTATTATTATCTGATTTTATTATTATTTTATTTTATTGTTATTTTATTTTATTTTATTTTATTTTATTTTATTTTATTTTATTTTATTTTATTTTATTTTATTTTATTTTATTTTATTTTATTTTATTTTATTTTATTATTATTTTATTGTTATTTTATTATTATTTTATTGTTATTTTATTTTAATTTATTATTATTTTATTTTGTTATTTTTTTTACTAATATTTTATATTTTTTATTGTAAATTTTAATTTTTTATTAATGATTTCATTTTTTATTAATTATTTCATTTTTTAATATTTGTTTTATTTTTTGTTAATTATTCTATTTTTTTCTTATTTATTTTATTTTTTTATTTCTTATTCTATTTTTTTCTTATTTATTTTATATTTCTATATTTAAAACAAGATGAAAAAAGTGATATAAATATAAATCGGACAGGGCATATCTAAAGTTCCTGAATGAGCAAAAATTCTTACTCTACATGGTAAACATTGAATAACTTTGAGAAAAGATCCGTTTGGTTTTTATATTTTTTGGACTAGTTTCTTAAAATAGTATCAATCAAATGGCGGCCTTTATTAGCAATTTCAAAATGACTCTTTCTTCCTGCCTTTGCCATTACCTTTCCGAGCAGCTCGGGTGTTAGAGCGTCGATTTCAGCACGAATGTTTGCCTTGCCGCTGGATGGCGCAAACCTTGCTTTTCAGATAACCCCACAAAAAGAAGTCCGGGGGTGTTAAATCAGGGGGTGTTTTTTCCTATATGCACGTTGAGTTAACTCAATGGAACGACTGTTTGCGATGCAAAGTATCGCTATTTTAGTGTGAAGCGATTAATGGAAAAAATTGTACTGAATTGACGTGTCCAAAAGATATCTGATGCAAAAGCTCCGTTGGTAAATGTGACAGTTATTCAGCGTTTACATACCGACTTAATAGATGGAGCACCCTGTAGGCAGGTAAACATTTGTACATTTGTGTTCTCAGTGTGAATAAAAAAAAAAATACAAAATTTGCGAGAAAGGAATGGCAAAAAGCAAGCGAAAAATATATAATCAAGCTCAATTCAGAGGTGAAAAAAATTGTGGAATGATTGATATTGTATGTGCAAGCAAACTGGAAAAAGGCAGAATAATTTTTACATGCACATACACGTATGTACACCACAAGACCACATAATCCAATCTAGCTTTTTGGAAGCAGACAACAAAGTAAACAAATAAAAAACACAAGAGATTAGTGGACATGCATAAAAGAGAGCATAAACACAGACCAAATGAAAACATTTATGTACGTATGTATGCATTTGTACATTGAATTGTCGTTGAATGTGGACTGACAGTTGGTGGCGTACGGAATAGTGACAGGCGCGCTGGAGGCCTGGGCACGGTCGCAAACAATTCATACTAAAAAAAATGAGCAGACAGGCCGACAATCAGCGAAGCAGTGAAACACTATTTGCGGCAATTAAATCAGTGACGAAAGCTCGACGCTGTTGATTGAATTTGATAGTACCCAACTAACTAAGCATCTTGCATTGATATTCACTTGAGGTTATGTTGAGAACAACTTAAATATCAAACAATGTTTGCCAATAAAAAAATTATAGATTTCATGAATCAAAGATACTTTCTTTAAACATACATATATGAATCACGTTTTTATGTTATTTGGATATATAGATGATTATTATGGAATACAAATTTAATAAGTTTTGAATATCGACTTGAGGATTATTAAATTCTCAACAGTTGATATTTTTTTTTTGGAAAAAATCATATGAATACCAAAACTATCAATTTCTTAAATTTTTTCAAGCCATTGAATAATTGGAATTTGAGAACTAGAAATTTCTCCAAATCTATAAATATTTTTCCATTTTACTCAGTGGTACTTTAGAATGGTGGACAAAAACTCATAGAGGAAATCATTGGACTGAATACAGAAGATCGCTGCCCTTTTGTATCACGGGACCGCTAAGAACTACTATAACCGATGCACTCAAAGCTTACTCAACCTACGACCACGTCGTAGTGAAATCTGCAGTGAGATCGTCACGAACATGCCCACGGACAATATGTATGTTTCCCCAACTTTTTGAACACACGATCTCGAAAGGACTGCTGAACAATTGAAAGCCTAATGACAAGCTATGGTATGGCATCATATACGAGCAGAATGAGCAATTAGTAGCAGTGACACATTTAGGTAGCAGAGGGAGGCAGCCATGAATAAGACATCGGAAGACTTCCTTTCCCCATGTGCAATCTTATCTAGAACTTGTCTTAAGATAGAAGACCAGAACACTAGAAGAAGTGAAAGGGGAAGAGGAATTTCTTCCACCGGGACAAACAGCAAATCAAGTCTACTGTCGTCAAGTACTAGAAAGATTGAGAAAACGAATCAACAGGGTGCGTCCAGACATCGCTCGTAACTGGATCCTTCATCCCGACAACGCGCCATGCCACACCGTCTTCAGCGCGACCCAGTATTTGGCCTCTAAAGGTATCGCCGTGTTGCAACAACCGCCTTATTCGGCCGATTTGTCACCCTGTGACTTTTTTTGTTCCCTGGACTATATCGGTGGTCAAAGGAACCAATTTTGAGTCGATTGAGGACATCCAAACGGCCGTGACGAGGATACTCGCGTACAAGCCAGCCGAAGCGTTCCAGCAATGTTACGAGGTATGGAAAACGCGCTGGAATCGTTGTATAGCTGCCAAAGAAAACTAGTTTGAAGGGGATGGCAGAGTTGTGGAATAATTTTGAAATATACGGTTTTTTATGGAATCAGTAGTAGTAGTAGAGATACCGTTCAATATGTGCGCAAGATTGGTCCAAAATTAATTCTAGGGGATCGAGGATTGCACAAATTGGGGAGGCGGTCATTTGAATCATGCAGTGTTTCACATACGTATAATGCCGATCTCTAAACTTTACAATAAAAACCCACGGTAGCCAAGTGGTTAGCAATGCGTACTGCCATTCAAAAGGCTCAGGTTCATATCACGTTGCCACCAACATTCAAGTGTTATGGAAAATTAATTAAAAAAAAATATATATCAAATTTTCTAATTGCGGTCGCCCTTCGGCAGGGAATGGGGTGGACATTCCGAGTGTATTTCCGACATGAAATAAAGATCCTCATAAAAAAGACCATCAGCTGTTCCGTGGCGGCTTAGTATAAACTGTAAGTACCTTCATTTGTTGGAAAAACATCAAGACGCAAAACCAGGAGGAGCTCGGCCGAAAAATCGCTTCAGAAGTTACAAAACGCCAATTATTTACATATATATATATATTTATTTATTTAATGCATTTTATATGCGTTTATTTTCTAAACCACGCAAAAAGGATAACCCTGTACATAAATGAACAACTATTACAATAATTTCTGCATAGCTTAACAATGTATGTATGTACATCTGTTTTTAAGCTTTTCAACGCTTTTCATTGTTTGCAAATTGTGGCTGTATTGATAAATGTCGGTTTTTATATCGTTTAAGTGGCGTTGTTGGAAAAAATAGGTGTGTCATTTTTTTTTTTAGTTAAATTCAGTTGAGCAACTGTGGTATTTAACAATAAAAAATACACATATATATGTGTATATATATAGCAAATTATAGCTAAGTGTAACTATGGAACCCCTCATTTTGAGAGCGAGTGACAATTGTGATTAAATTGTCGCACAAACTATTTCCTTCATGGCACATTTCGCATTAAAGAGACATGAAGAGCCAACAATCGGCGCTTTGAACGCGCGCCTGAAAATGATTACGACAATTTCTTTACTTGGCACAGTAGAAAAGTGCGAAGGAACTCACACCCTCTGCGTGGTTCGTGAACGAATATTAGCATTGAGAATCTGTCGACACGACAGTCACTCACGCACTCATACTCAGCTTAAAAAAAAAAAACCAAAAAAAAAAAAGAAAAGAGTCAACACTGAAAATCAAACATCACAAAATTAATGACAATTTTATCACATTGTATGACATATGTCACGCCTTGAAGGATGATCAGGCAGGAGTAGCAATGAAATGGAGTGTTTAAAAGGAAATAAAAAAAAAACGAAACGAGAAGAAAATATTTATTCCCAGAGGGAAAGAGATCACTGGTAACAGCACTTGAAGATAAAATATCATTGTTGTGTGTGTAAATGTGTTTATGTCAAGAGAGCAACAAGCGCACGCTTTTTAAATGCCTACGATTATATCGACTGACAAATTTGACAGTTCGTTGACATTTGGAAGGGATTGTCACACTACATGAATGCCACGCAAACAGGCCTATATATACATAAATGAAGGTAAACATTGCGCATATATATGCCCACATATGTAAAAAATATTTAAATATGGCATGTGTGGTTAATTAATTAAATTAAATTATCGTAAGCGAGCAACAGAAATAACAAATAACAGTCAGCGATATACGAAAACAAGCGCATGGACTCCCCAATAGAACAGAACATGGTAATTGTTACAGATGAATATGTATGTAAATATACATATTTACATATATGTATATGACACTGCAAAAGTGTGTGTTTGTTTTAAAGAGGCATAAAAGAGACACGCCTTAATTGAAGGTGGTTTTCTGAATTTCTCGTGAACTTCCTTTTTTCCAGTCGACGTTATTACTTAGTACCCAAAACGAGCGCTTTGTTCGAAAATACGCACATTTATTTATAGCCTGGACTTACCCAAAGCAAAATCATCGAAATTGCATTTGCCTGGTTTTATTTGAAAGATTCTTTAAGAATGTTGTAAACGCAAGAAGAGTTAATGAATGTTCAAATGTAAATTATGAAGGGTTTTTTCGCAGCGGAATGTAAAATACATATTAGCAAGGCAGTGTCATATAATATTTTAACAAATACAATGCGTTTTTTTTTCTAAAAAGAGTATTGTCGCTTTTAGAGAAAAGACAGCATCGCATTATTTAATGCCACTTTAAACCTCCATTCAAAAAATGTCCCTGTGTAATTCATCGAAGATCTCTAAGCCAATAGACCCGTTGTGTTATCGCTGTGAGGCTCTTGTATTTTACCTTCACAAATGATGTTCGACTCATTTCGTGCTTTATAAAAAGCAACGAAGTTTCCAACTTTGGAAATCTTTCCCGATAAACTTAAGTTACGCAGATGTCATGGTATGGTGAAAGAGTCTTCCTCATCTCATATCACATGATCTCATTAAGCGATCTAGAGTCTGCTGCTTGTTCCATTTTATAACTAAAAATTAAAATTATTTTTGTTTATTTTATTTTAATTACTATTTTATTGTTCTCAATATTTTATTTTAATTACTATTTTATTGTTCTCAATATTTTATTTTGTTTAATATTTTATTTTTATTATTATTTCACTTTTGTTATTATTTCATTTTTGACATTATTTCATTTTTATTAATTTATATTATTATTTCATTTTATTAATATCTTTAGTATTTTATTATTATTTATATTATTATTTCATTTTATTATTATCTTTAGTATTTTATTATTATTTTTGGTATTTCATTTTTTTTTTTTAATATTTAATTTTTTTTTATCATTTTATTTTATTATTTTTTTAGAATTTAATTTTATTTTTAGTTTATTATTTGAAAATATTAAATAATTTTTTTCTATAATTTAATATTTATAATTATTTATTTTTTTTAAATTTTTTTTATTTTTTACATTTTTATTTTTAATTTTTTTTATTATTTTTTCTTATTTTTTATTTATTTTTATTATTTATTTTTATTATTTATTTTTATTATTTTANTTTTTATTTTTTTTTTTAATTTATTTTACTAAGTAAATCAGTTTAGAGGCTAATTATCTCTCCCAGCAAGTTTTTTGTCTAAAAATTTTCTTTCGAGAAATGGGGCTTAAATTAAAAATTCATATTAATTGAATATCATTATTTGGCTTCTTTCTTTCGCCCATATATTTATTCTGTGTATTTACCTTTCTTCGGATCCATATTGAACTTTTTCCGCCCAATTGACATTTGTTTCTCTTTATTGGAATGTTTATTATCTTCGGGCACATCCAGCGCCTCCATTTCCGATACCACCTCGCCGAGTTCATCTTTGATTTGCTGCAAGTAAATAAAGAAATGAAAGGTAAAGGAAAATTAATTACATGTGTTCATGTTTAGAAAATTAAATGTTTAATTTACGAAAGTGCCAAATTACATTTCCTTTTTGTAAATAACGTTACCTCGATATCAGTGGCATTATCTCTTTGTTCAAACCAAGTGCAACTTTGTATTTTGGCAACTTTAATTTTGTACACACAATGTATGTGTATATGTACATATGTATTTTGGAAAGTAAAGTGTCAATGTAATTTGCATTTTATATGTAAAAATAAATTTTAAGCGGAAGAGGAAGGATGTGTATGCGATTACATGGTTGCTGACAAAAACGACGACTGTTGATGAATTTTAAAAATAGCAAAAACTTGCAAATACACACATACGTGTGCGAGTATACTTCAAAAACTACACGAAAATTGCGTATGGTAAGATAATGTATGCAGTTGATTTTGCAGTTAACAAGCGGAGCGGTGACATGTGCCTTTAATGGTAATTAAATGTGGCGTAAATATGGGGGTGGGCCAAGAAGTTTATGAGTGTGACATATATGTATGTTTTTTTGGAATGCTAAGGGTAATTTCATTTTTCAACGAGAAGTTTTTATTTTATTTTATTTAAAATTTTTTAATATAAAAAATTTAGTTCTTAATATTAATTTTTTTTATTTTATATATGACATTTTATATTTATTCTTCTAGGTGTTTATTTTTATGCTTAATAATTTATTAATATTTATATATTTATTTTCTACTCTCTCTTTCTTTTTTATTTTTAACATCTGCTTAATTTTACCGATTTTATTTTGTATTTATATGTCCTATCATATTTTAATCTTTTTTAAAATTTAACTTGACTTTTATAATTTAAGTTAATTTAAATTGTATTTCATTTGCTATTTTTTATTTTTAATTAAGTAATACCTTTTCAGATAGTCATTATTTGAAGTCTCTATTGTACTTCTTTACTTATGTTTTATAATTTATTTGATTTTAATAAATTTTTTCTGTATTTTTTTCCTTTTTAATTGGTTTTGCTTTTTTATCTTGTTTTTAATTATTTTATTTTTTTATTAGTTTATTTTTTAATCAGCTTATTTTTTTAGCGAATAAATTCTTTGATTTTTATATGTAAATAAATTTTTATTTCTATAAGTTTTTTATTTAAATTTTTTATTATTATTATTATTGTTAGTTTTGCTATTATTATTATTTTTATTGTTGCTATTATAATTATTATATTTAATTTTATAATTATTATTTCCAATTTTATAATTATTATTTTAAATTTTTGGATTTTTTTTTTATTTTTATAATTATTATATTATTTTTATAAATATTATTCTTGTTTTTATAAGTACTCTTTCTATTTACTTAAGATTTTATTTAATTCAAGTTTTTATGTATGATTTTATATCAGGTGTACAACTTTGCTTCCGCCGTTTTTTTTTTTCAAAATTAAAAGCTTTATTGCGAAAAAGTGCTTATAGATATATTATTCAAAGTATTTTCTTTCGCTAGCGACAACTTTGTCCCATCTTTCCGGCAATTTTCGGATCCCGGCTCGAAAAAAGGAGTCCTCTTTTGACGCTATCCATGAAGCAATCCATTTTTCCAATTCTTCGAAGGATTGAAAATGTTGATCTGCCAGGCCGTGTGCCATCGAACGGAATAGGTGGAAGTCAGAAGGGGCGACATCTGGGGAATACGGCGGGTGGGGCAAGACTTCCCATTTCAGCGTTTCCAGGTACTTTTTGACCATTTTTGCTCTTGATATTGAGGCCGCTTTTCTTTTAGCGCGCGACTAAGGCGCATCAGTTGCGTTCGGTAGCGAGCTCCTGTGATGGGTTCAATCGACTTTAAGAAGTTTTTGAAGATTTTTTCTCTTCCCCCACCATGTTTGTCTTCGACATCGAAATCACCATTTTTTAAGCGTTGAAACCTCTCCCTACACGGTCTTTCACTCAGAGCAGCATCACCGTAAGTTTCTGAGCGCATTCGATTCGCTTCAGCTGCATTTTTTTCAAATTGTAATAGAAAAGTAAACATAAACGGACATTTTTGAGCGTGAATAATACGAAAACAAGAACAACTGTCACTGAAACGGCGATGACAATTCGTTAGGCACTGTCCAGTCCACAATCACTTTAAAGGCATTATCATCTATGTATTTCAACCAGCGTCAGCCCGTACAGCCACCTATCGGAAAACGGCGGAAGCAAAATTGTACACCTGATATCATATTTTTAATTGTTTATATTTTTATATTATTGTATTTTTCCTTTTTTACTTTTTTTTTTTTAATTTTATAGTTTTATTTATTATATATTTTTTTAGTTTAATGATCCCAAATAATTTTTTGGTTTAATTTTTAAAACTTTTGTTTATTACAAATTTTATTATACTTTTTGTTTTAATCTTCTTTATATTTTTTATTTACGTTTTTAAATTATTCTCTTAATTCTTTTTCATATTGTTTATTTATTCTGTATTTCTTGTTTTATTTTTGTCATATTTATTAGTTTTTAGTCAAAGCTTTTCCTTGCGATAGTATGGCAACTCTCGACATTTGCATATGCAAATGTTTTTCGAATGTGTGCGAATCTTCAAAGAGCGACAACAATAGCATTCTAAATTATTTCATTTCCTTTGCCAAATGGATTTTTGCACTTTCTACTCTGTAGAAACACATACACACTTACATATGTATGTGTGAAAGAAAAGACACATTATTATTAAATGTAAAAGTAATTTTTTATACAATGGTGAAATGTTGTTGGGGAAAAAATTAAATGTTGTATAAACAGCGATTAAATGACTGAAAGTAATGTGAAATAAAAAAAAGTTCACCTTAAACCCAAACAATCTACAATTTACTAGCAAACACATGCACTTTTCACACATGCCTTCAATGATAACGGTACATTTAAATGACACTTGAATGGCCAAGTCGCTGTCGCATTTTAAGGCAATAATTTAACAATTTAAGAGAGCTCTCACACATGCAGATGTATGTACATATGGATGGGGGAATGTATGGATGTGTGTATGTAATAATATTTTATCTCGCTAAATGGTTGTTGCTGTTGCTGTTGCTGTTTTTTATATACTCCACTCAAAGTCACTTAATTTTCGTTTCTTTATTAATATATTTTTTGTATGTATGTATTTTTCAGTGTAAAATTTCACCTCGTTCAAATATAATATTAACCTCAATATAGCATTTGAAGGTATCGATGAATGCAGCGCGATGACCAAATAACGTCAGATACATGCATATGTATGTGTATAAGCATTTACTACCAATTTGTTTGGGAAATTTACGGCAATAATAAACACAAATTTATAAATATGAATGTACACGTATGTATGTATATTTGTTTGAATATTTGCAAATTAAAATGCATCGAGTCAAGCGCGATTTTGTTGCCACGCTATTCTCTCTTTCTCCCACACACACTCTTTACACTTCTACTTCGTTGCTAAATTATTCTTATTGTAAAATTACACAGACATGTGCATATAATTAATATTTATTGTTATTTTTTGCAGCTGTAATTCTATTATTGTGCAAAAGCTCTCATAATCGTCATCAATGCGTTAATAATTATTCATAGCCAAATTCGCAATGGAATTTAATTACTTTTACATTTGCATAAAATCATTTGAATTCTATTGATTACGACTACAAGGCGCTATACGTTGGGTCCATTGACTTCCAAGATTGTTGACGAGTTAAGAGCTAAGCGCAGCAATGGATCTGGTAATAGATGTGACGAAGAAAAAATATTCCACCAGCAACAATTGCATTTAACACAAAAGAAATATATATCGGATGAGAATTACAGAATTCTGATGAAGACGAACGAAGAGGAACAGTTTTACCTTTTTAGTCTTAACGATACAGGGTTTCCCAATTCGGCACTCGAAGATAACCAATTAAAAAGGTCATAAATTTAGTTTGGAAAATCACTTTCAAACAATGCAAAGACAAGTGAAAACTATGCATAATTCGGAAATAATTTACTTTTGCTCGAATGTGACTTGTAGGTATTTTGGTCTACTCGCGGACAACGACTTTTTATTAGCGTGTCGATACAATTCAGACTTTGCTCTATAAAATGATCCAAAAAAATAATCCATCGGATTAGCGTCGAGCGCCATTGTGTAGACCTTTTGAAGTTCGGATCGTTGTGTTTCAGCCATTCTTGGTTCACTCGAACCGGTGCCGAGTCCTAATGAAACGTGCATGATACAATGACTTCAAAGCAAACTCCAAAATACTTTTCCGATAATATTGCGCATTTATTTTGACGTTGGGCTTGATGAAAACGATTATATGTGGCGGGGGCTGCCTACTGGTGAACGATCGATGACTCAAATTCCGGTATGAACGGTCGGTCAAAAAATACTATCGTTTTGAAAGTTGAGGGCTTGTCCAAATGTAAAAATTTTATCGTCAGAAAAACCAATGTTCATAAATTGACCACTTTCGGCTAAGCGAAGCAACTCCTTAACTCTCTCTCATGTCTGACTTGTTGCTGCTTGGGTGTGAGATCAAGCAAAACGCAAATTCTTTCCGAATTATGTACTATTTTAACATAATTTGTACTTTGAATTGATTAAAAGAAATTTTCTAAACTAAATTTATGGCCTTTTAAATTGGTAATACTTCGTGGGTCGGACCCTGTAGAGGCGTTATTCTGATATTCAAAGGAACATCTCCTTCAAAAGCATTTTCTAAGGAAAACAGAAACTAAGCAAGGGATGAGCGAAATCAATGAAACTTTTCAAATTCTTAAAAAGCCTATAACATTTTGTAGCGCCATTATTTTACTACCCTCACTGTACTGAATTAAACACATTTTAATAGTACAGTATATATTTAAAAATGATGATCTCACTACATATCGTCACAAAAATTACAATTTTTTCATTCTTTTGAATACAAAGGAATTCTAAATATGTTGGTGATATAAAAGTAACCGCATAAAGATTTTAAATTGATGGAAAGTTCGCATGTAAAAAATACATATTTAAATGGTATATAAAAATACCCGCATAATTTAAGTGCTAATTTTTACGTGATCACATTGAAAGTAAGTGAATAAAAGTTAATGTGAACATAAATATTCTTAAGCACTAGTAATTGTTGTTTAGTTAAAACATAATAGCGCCGGAAAAATAAAATATAAATATAATATATTTTATAGAAAGAAACAAAAGATTTCAATTATATAATGAAAAATATATATTGTATAGAATTAAATACTAATATAATCAAATAAATTTAAAATTATTGATAAAAAATTATGAAAAAAATAACATAAAATTGTGAAAAAAAATTCTAAAAAAAATTAACATATGAACAAAATATTAAACAATTAACAAACAATAAATATATAAAAAATTACGGGAAAAAAACAAAAATTAAAATAAAACCAATAAAGAGCTTTAATAACCATATTAAATTTCTGGCCCTCATTTTAGGATTAAATATTAATTAAAAAATTTGAAGTTGGTTGGAGGCGCGATAGATATGATGATGTGGCAGTTTTTTTACCCAAACTCAAAAATAAATCGGTTGAATGGGGTTTATATGATACAGTAGACCCCTAATTTCGATGATTTCAATGCCAAAAGTTTATTCGTAGAAACGATCGTATAAAAGTGGAGTTTTAACCAAAGCCCTATATCTAAAAAAGGACTCATCAAAACTAGTCCTTCTGGTATTTATGTATTAAAGGTAAAAAAATTGCAAATTAAAAAAAATTTGAATGTTAAATGAAGAAGGTAATAAAAAATTTAAGAGAGCAAAATTACGTAAATTTAGATATGAATACAAGACAAATTAAAATAAAATAAAGAAATTAAAATATATACAAAATTCGAAAAAAAAAATTAAAAACAAAGCTTTTGTAAAATAAAATGCATAAAAAGAGATTCAACTAAATTAATTATAAAAGAATATATTAAAAACTATTGATATGCAAAAAAAAAAAAACAAAATAAAACAAAGCTTTAGCTTACGATAGATATATTTATAAATCAAAATAAAATAAAATGAATTAAGATATATTTAAGCAAATTATGCAAAAAATAAAATAAAACAATATGCATTAAAAATAAAATAAAATTAATTATGAATATTTTATAAACAAAAATATAGAAAAATTATATAAAATATAAACATAAATTAAAATTAACCCTTAATAAATTGAAAGTAAATAAGATGACATAATTGAAATGAAATAAAATGAAATATAGAATATAAAAAAATTAAAATTAAATGTAAAAAAACCATATTAATGAATTTACTAAAAAAAATATATGAACTAGCAAACAAGCTAAATCAAGTAAAAAAAAAAATATAAATATCATTAACTATATGAAAGTCAATTATAGCACCTTTTAATCTCAAAGCAAAATGAGAAAAATATTAAAATATTTGAATACAATAATTAACAAAATTAATAAAAAGTGTAGACTGTAAATGCAATAAATTTGGCAAAATCATTCATAGATAATTCATACAATTTTAAAACTATTTAAAAGAAAAATATAACTACCAACTGCGAGTGGTGAAAATATTAAATAACAATTTAAATATATATTTTAGCGATTTCACCCGAAAATCGCATATCTAGTAATTTTTTTTTTTTAAATATATTTGCTTTTTAAACATTTCTTATTATTATAATGTATAATTTTATTTAAATTATTTATTATTATTTTTTTTTAGATTTTTTTTATTACTTATTTTCTGTAAAATTACTAATAATAAAGGTCTTAAGCCATATATTTGAAATGCCATTTTAAACACTAATCGCTAGCGAAAATAATACGTTGGTATGAATAACAAATGGCTACTCACGTACTAACTATCTTACAGATAAACAAAGAAAATGTTTAAACTAACTACACCCTCTAGCCGATCGACGCATAGTTAATTAATTAAAGCCAACGTGTTTGCGGTTATTTCGGTTTATTAAAGGCAACCGATGAAATACCTTAGAAAGCCGTGCTACGCAATTAATAGATACATCGCCGATGATCAGCACAAGCCGGCCATTGAACGCAGTGACAGGGAATGCACACAAACAGACAAGTGCTTATATAAGTAGTATATATATGTGTGTTTGTAAGGGGTTACGATATCTTCTAAGTATAGCTAGAAACCAGTTCAAGTGTTGTTGGTTTTTTCTTTTTGGCGCTTCATCACACAAGACAAAAAACAACACAGGTAATTGATCAAAATTCCGCGCTTAACCCGCATAAAAGACACTCAACCTGTTTTTAAATTGAAAAAAAAAAATAAAAAAAAAATCACCAAAACAATAAAAAGGAACATAAAAATTAAAATACATAAAATTCTACGACAAAACAATTTAGAAATATTTTAATGCCACCGAAGCGAGTAGCTGGCCTGAGAGCTTAGCTAATTCCTAAAACACCACACCCGCTGCCCGCACGCCCAGTAGCTCTTACACCAACCTGTCACTTACAAGCACTCACACATACATACATGCGCTTGGCAGTGTCTTTCACACATTCTCTTCTAACAATGTTTAGTACTCGCCGCTCTCGTCTCCCCTCTTTATCCTACTTACCTTGTTGTTATTGCGTAGTATCACAGTCGCATTTTGCGCCGCATTGTTACGGTTCCGCACCAAGACATTCCGACAGTCATCACAGAGATAATTATTGTTGTCATAGCCGTTAGTGTCACAGCTAACACTACTACCGCTCCCGCTCCCGCTCCCACTCACACTCCCACTGCCATTGTCGCCCGCATTGAGATTCAATTGTAGATTCTTCACCAAAGATATTGTTGCATTACAACTTGACTTGTTATTTTCCTTGTTGTTTTGCGAATTGCGCTCCGTTTCACTTTGTGACGTTGAGCTATCGTCAATAAAACGTAAATCGGCACCAACCACGTTGAGTAGTGGACTAATGCCGTCAAGATGTGGATGAAAAGGCATACTACTCGCGCTAACGGTATCACCATCACCGCTCGTCCCGTGCAACGTCTCCTCATCCTCATTTAGTACATTGTCTAAGCTATTAGAACGTTGTTTCGTACGCTCACGTTGCGGCCGACGCGCTATCACCTCACCGCGTTCGTTCAAGACCAACTCGACGGGACGTGATATCATCATTGTGTGTTGGGTCGTGGTGGTCACTGAACGACTGAATTCGGTACGTTTCTGGACCAACAATGTATTCGGTTCGTCGCTAGGCAAATGCGTCACCTCCACGTTACGGCTAACCTCCTTCTCCACGGTACTTCGATTGGTTAACGTGATGGGCGCCGAGAGACCTTCGTAAATGGGATTGTCGGTGAGTGCGGGTATGTTATACGTAGCGACACTGATAAATGGTGGCGCGACTCTTGGTGATTTCGCAGATTTTTGTTTTGGCATTGGCGTTGTTGGTGTAGTGGATGGCGTTATTTTCGTTTTCACGTGTTGCGCCGGCGTGGTATCGGCACGTTTCCGCATTTGCGGTGTTTCTGGACGCGATGATGTGGCATATTTACTGCTGCAACAGCAACGTGAACATAACTGCGATACACGTTTGCCACTAACCAGACCGCGCTTATCATCAGTTGTCGCATCTTCATCATCCTGTAGATTGTCAATAGATGTGCCACCTTTTGACAAGTAACTTTGTCCCTTTTTATCTGTCAGACCGCCACCTCCCAACCCGCCGTGTAGGTCAACTTGCGGTACATAGAAGGTGCTGTTGGCGCTGAGATCGATGCAACTGCGTTGGAAATGCTTGTCATTGGTTTGGAGTGCGGCGGCTTTCTTGTTCTTCGGCTGACGGCGTAACGAGGAGAACCAGTTTGAGATGCTTGGTCGCTTCTGGTGTTGATATTGCTGTAGGGAAGCCATGCTGGTGCCAGAAGTGTACACCGTGAGCCGGCTATAATATAGTTGATTTGCTGTTTTTGTATTAGTATCAACTGTTGTAAACAGTTGTGTGTGTTTCGAGTTATAATTTTCTAGTTAATTTGTTGCACTTCTTTTCCTGCTTGGAGTTGCTGGATTTGTATGTCGTCTTTTTCTTATTTTATGTAATTTTTTTTTGTTATCAAGTTCTCGCAGCACTGCACATGAGTTAACTTCCTTTGTTATTTTTTTTTACTTTATTGTGTTTTTTTTTTATTGTAAATTTTTATGATTTCAACGTAATCACTTTGCCACTTGTTGTTTGATTGCACACTTACATGGCTACAATCCGAGCATACACTATACTTATAAAAACCAGTTCCTCTAGCTCATTACACGTTGAAATTATTGTGGCTTCTCCTGCTGCTGCTGATTTCAACTGTATTACGGTAGAAAAAAATTATTACATTTGATATTTTTTGAAAGGCTTGCATTCAACTGCCACCGAGTGCCTCCGCGTGTTGTTTTTTTATTATATTTTATTTGTAGCTAAGTATCTACACATATTTCTTTATCGGCGTGTAGTGTTCGCGGAAATCATTTGTCGAAGGCCGAAGAAGGAATGCAAGTTGGGATGAATCGAGGAATATATATAGACTATAAGTAATCTTCAAATATTTCAACGAATAGTTCTTATTTTAATTTTTATTTTTTTATTTCTTGTTGTAATGTAAGAAAAATTTAAATTTTAATTTCCTTTTCTTACTTTTTTAATGTTTCTTCTTTTTATTTTTTATTTTCTGTTTATTGTTTTTTCTACTTTTATTTATTTTTCGTTCCGATTTTTATTTCTTATTTTTATTATTTTATTTTTTATTTCTTTCTTTAATTGTTCAGTTTTTGTTTCTTATTTTTATTTTTTATCTTTTGCTTCTTATTTTTACTTTTTATCTTTTGCTTCTTATTTTTACTTTTTATCTTTTGCTTCATATTTTCACTTTTTATTTTGTGTTTCTTATTTTTATTTATTAATTTTGTTTTCTTAATTTTTTGAATATCACTTTTTATTTCCTTTTATATTACTTTTTAATTTTTTCTATTCTAACTAACTTTTGTTTAATTTTTTATTCTAATTTTTATCTTCATTTATCGGAACTTGATCATAAGTCAAATATAACCCTGTTTTTTAACTTATTTTATTAATTTAATTTAATTTTTTTTTCGTTATTTTTCATGAATTTTTTTAACTTTTATTATGTTCCACTTTTTTATTTTTTATTCAATTTTTTAAGTTTATTTGTTTTATTTTTTAATTTAATTTTCTTGTTTTAGTTATTTATTTATTTTTTTGTTTTTATTTTTATTTTTTATTAGTTTTAGTTTTTTATTTTTTATTAGTTTTAGTTTTTTATTTTTTTTTTTTTGAGTTTTAGTTTCTTATTTTTTTTTAGTTTTAGTTTTTTTTTGTTCTACTTTTTATTTTACTTATTTTAATTTTTTTTCTTATTTTAACTTTTTGTCTTTTCGATTTTATAAATTTTTTTATTTTTATTTAATTTTATTTTCATTTGTTTATTTTACTTTAATTTTTCTATTGTTTATTTTATTTTATTTTTTTATTTTTATTTTCATTTTTATTTTATTTATTTTAATTTGTTTTTATTATATTTTGATTTTTTGTTGTATTTTTCTATTTATTTTAATTTATTTATATTATTTAATTTATTATATTTATTTCTTTAGTTTATTTATTTTGTTTAAGTTATTTGAAATCAATAAACTTTTTTCTATTTATATTATTTCGTTTCTATTTATTTAATTTTTATTGCTTTATTTTTCTCTATATTATTTAATTTTTTTCTATTTATTTATATTTTTATTTATTTATTTTTCTTTATTTATATTTATTTACTTATTTTCTATATATTTTATTAATTTTTTTCTATTTGTTTTTTTAATTTTTTATTATTTTATTTTATTAATTTTTTATTATTTTTTGTTTTTGTTTTGCATTAGTTTATTGCTTTATTCATTTTTTCTTTTTCAATTTTTTCTTATTTTTCTTTTTTTTTTTTTTTTCTTTCTTTGCATTTTTTTTATTTTGATTTTTTTTTTTTTTTTTTTTGTCGTCTTTTTCATTGACCTTTTGTACTTTACTAAAAATAAATTAATGATTTTAGAACGGAAGTAAATATTACTTCTCTAACTTCTCATCAACTTCCCATCCTCCAGGACGACTTTACAAATGATCTACACTTTTAAACGACGGAAAGTAAACTAAACGATTATTTTCGAAAAACACGCACTGTTCGTTCCGTCTGCCACTGCAACAGCGCTTTGACAGCAAATAACCAATTTGCAATAATTTCAAATCAAACGAAATTGGTTGAAACCCTTTAACTAGTACCAACAATAAATAGACACGAACTATCAAGCATCCGGTAGTTAGTGGCTAAAGTGTTTGTTTGTACCGAAATGATTTCTTGGCACAACAATTAAGCTAAGACGCCGACACAAACAACAACCGGACCGGACCAGAGCGACATTAAATTGCATGTATATGAATACGCATATACGAAACAACGATAGAGGAACATTTGAGAATGTACATACATATATTATTATCAACAAGAAAGCAAGTAAAACCATTGACTTTGGACTTCTAAGCGTTTAGGAGGATATTTAGTATGAGACTGTCTACAAGAAAGTCTTGGCAATAAAATTTACAAGTTACGATGCTAATTTACGTAACTCTTGACTGAAAGAAAATACATAAAGAACACCAGAGAATTGGAAGAACACCAACATGAATATACATATATATGTGTGTGTGCAAATACTCGTACAAAGCAGTTGGCAGGATACACGACACATAAATTACGTAAAACTAAATGCTTTTCTCAATTTAAAATATTCCAAGCGGAAATAGTGAACTGTACAAAGAACAAAAATCAAAGGAAAAAAGGTTTGTAGACATTTCAAGAGGACTCAAACAAATTGTGTGTGAAATAAGGAGCTATCACATTTTACGAGTTTTACCCTTCTCGTAAGGATGTTAATGTCAGTGCGGCACTCGATACTCGATATGCCACACTCTACTGCTGTTTACATGTACATACATATATATGTATATAAAAACAGTTATTTCCAGTACGAATTTCAATTTACACTACGCAATATTGTCCATTTACTTGGAATTGTCAATAATAAGTGAGCAGCCGAATATTAATGCTACCTACTACCTACTAACGAGCTTCCACTACTGCCTGTCGGTCTGTGGTGGCTTTATTATTTTTGTAGTAGTAATGTGCCTATAAGAGAATTGTATGAGAAGGTACTCGTATGTAGTAGCGCCACAATGATAAAATAGTAAATAGTAAATAAACAAAGGCAATACTCAATCAATTTCAAATCTCAAAACATACCCCGCAGCCGCAAAGCAGCGTTGCACGCGCAGATATGTTGAATAGATAATCGATAGAGAAAACAGGTAGTCAGCTGGCTGTTTACCAAAAGCAAAGTGAATAGTGGGAATATTATCAGGTAGACGTAAAGGTCATTGATTGAGTATGAACTATAAGACAAATAGGCGGCTAGTCGTTCAAATACTCTTTGAGAGCATACAATATGAGTGTAAAAAATGATGATATTGAACTTGAAAGTGAGAAATATTTTACATTATAAATGATCATATAGGTAACCAGCAACAGTTAGGAAAGTTAGAAAATAAAATGCAATACAAAGCTATATAATAAAAAATAATTGATAAAAGAAAAACATTAAAAATAATAATTTAAAAAATACTAATTATTTAAAAGGAAATAAAATTAATATAATTTAAACATAGTAAAAAAAATGGAATCAAATATTAAAATATAATCTGAAACATATAAGAAACATTAACATGAAACGAGAAAATCAAGCAATTTAAAAGGGAATTAAATATATTTAAAATAAAATAAATTTAAAAAAATTAAATACAAAAAAACTGGAATCAAATAATAAAATATAATATAAAATAAATAAATAAAATAAACCAAAAATATATTAAATTAATTTAGATGGGTTGGAAAAGAGCTAGAAACATTAGGAAAACAGTTAAAAATGAAAAATGATTTATATAAAAAAAAATGTTTTTAAACTAAGTAAATTAAAAAAAATTGAATTGAAAGGATAAATTAAATAAGAATATTGAAATTATACATATTAAAAAAAAAATATTAAAAAATATATATTTAATCTTTAAATATTTTTTAAATGGTTTTGATAATAATTAATAAAGTGTAAAGCAAAAAAATAAAAAATATATAACAATAAAGAAAAATTAAAAATATCTAAAAAAAAAAATAAAAAAAAGAATAAAAAAAAATATTCTTCACTTTTTAGAGTTAATGCCACAAGATGAAAATCCATATGTACGTACAATGCTTTTTCATGATTCAGGATGCAATGAGATATCTTTAAGGAAGAAAAGTGATGAGCGTAACTGGAAGTCACATAAACAACAAACATTTTGTTACTTTTTTTTAACGCTCGAAATTGAATTTTGTATTCCAGTGAACAGGTTACCTTGTTTGAAAAAACTTTGACAGCACTGCTTTTTTCGTCCACGTCAAATTACATTTGCCAGTTGGAAAAGTAAGAAATAAGAGTACTCACATCGAAATGGAAGTTTTATATATTTGTTTATTAAGTCACAAATAGTTCAACATTATTATGGCAAATATACCAGGATGACAGAAAAAGCTGCATTATAACGCTATCTTCCAAATTAAAAGCAGATTATTTGTTACCTCCTATTTTGCTGATAAGAAAATTTACAGGGCGGCAGTGAACTCAGAACACGAGATAGTAACAAAATTTATTGAATGCTAAATTTCAATACCAAAGTAAATTTTGTTACCGCGACAGAATAGGCATGAAAGTGATACTATTTAGATTAAGATGTTATATATAAAAGAACGAAGAAAACTTGAAAATCGGAAACTCATATCAGGCTAAAATAAAAATATATTATGAGTTTCCTAAGATATTTAGCGCTCCCTAGGAAGATGAAATTATTCAAATAATTCTATATTCGAAATTTTGACAGGTAAACGTATATGGAGTTGAAATTCACAGCAAAGGACTTAAGTTTTCCCCACCCTTATTATTTCGAGCGGTAATTACTCAACTGAAAAAATTTTGAAGAATAACTATCAGGTACTGGATATACTTGAAGGTTTCTACCTAAAACCGAATCTACTGACTTACAAACCGCTGTTTCAAGTTGAAGGAGATCTTTAGAAGGAAACTTTACAGAGGAAAAAAAATGGGGTACGAAGGTGTCGTTAATCTGTGAATTCAAATTCAAAAAATATAAAAATATTTTTCTTCTAAGAAACATAGCCTTTCTAAAAATTTGTATATAGTTCATGAATTTAATAGTATTTTACATGA